TTTTGGGTTTTAAATGCAAGCTATTGTGACACCAGTGAGTGAGTGGTGGCACTGGGCACAGTATCCACTGAGCCTGGCACACCCGCTTTGAGACAACTAACTGCTATTCAATCTATAACAGCGAAAAAAGTTTTTTCTTTTTAAATGCAAGCTATTGTGACACCAGTGAGTGAGTGGTGGCACTGGGCACAGTATCCACTGTGAGCCTGACACAGAAGCTGGCAGGCAGGCAACTGCAATTACATTACACAGAAAAAAAACAAAAAAAACCAAACTGATGTTCTAGCCCTAAAAAGGGCTTTTTGGGGTGCTGTCCTTACAGCAGAGATCAGATGAGTCCTTCAGGACTGTAGTGGACACTGTATACCCTAACCTAGCTATGCATTTTCCTATCTAATCAACAGCAGCTACACTTTCCCTCCTCTCACTAAGCATGCAGCTTGAGAATTAATGTAAAATGGATGCCTTCCAGTAGGTGGGAGGGTCTGCTAGGGAGGGTGTGCTGCTAATTGGATGGAATGTGTCTGCTGACTTTGAGGTACAGGGTCAAAGTTTACTCAATGATGACGAATAGGGGGTGGATCGAACCGCGCATATGTTCGCCCGCCGTGGCGAACGTGAACATGCTATGTTCGCCAGGAACTATTCGCCAGCGAACCGCTCGGGGCATCACTAATTGGAATATTCTAACCCCAGATACACCGTGCTGGTTGGATATATTCTAACCCCAGTTACGCTGTGCTGGTTGGAATATTCTAACCCCAGTTACGCCGTGCTGGTTGGAATATTCTAACCCCAGTTACGCCGTGCTGGTTGGAATATTTTAACCCCAATTACGCTGGTCTGGTTGGAATATTCTAACTCCAGTTATGCCGTGCTGGTTGGAATATTCTAACCCCAGTTATGCCGTGCTGGCTGGAATATTCTAAACCCAGTTACGCCGTGCTGATTGGAATATTCTAACCCGAGGTATCTGGTTGGAATATTCTAACCCCAGTTACGCAGTGCTGGTTGGAATATTCTAACCCCAGTTACACCGTGCTGATTGGAATATTCTAACCCCAGTTACGACGTGCTGGTTGGGATATTCTAACCCCAGTTACGCCGTGCTGGTTGCAATATTCTAACCCCAGTTACGCCCTGCTGGTTGGAATATTCTAACCCCAGTTACGACAAGATGATTGGAATATTCTAATCCCAGTTACTCCGTGCTGATTGGAATAATATAATCCCAGTTACGCCATGCTGGTTGGAATATTCTAACAGCAGTTATACCGTGCTGGTTGGAATATTCTAACCCCAGTTACGCCATGCTGGCTGGAATATTCTAACCCCAGTTACGCCATGCTGGCTGGAATATTCTAACCCCAGTTACGCCGTGCTGGCTTGAATATTCTAACCCCAGTTACGCCGTGTTGGTTGGAATATTCTAACCCCAGTGACGCCGTGCTGGTTGGAATATTCTAACCCCAGTTACACGGTGCTGATTGGAATATTCTAACCCCAGTTACGCCCTGCTGATTGGAATATTCTAACCCCAGTTACGCCCTGCTGATTGGAATATTCTAACCCCAGTTACGCCGCGCTGGTTGATATATTCTAACCCCGGTTACGCCGTGCTGATTGGAATATTCTAACCCCAGTTACACCATGCTGGTTGGTATATTCTAACCCCGGTTACGCCGTGCTGGTTGGTATAATCTAACCCCAGTTACGCCGTGCTGGTTGGAATATTTTAACCCCAATTACGCTGTGCTGGTTGGAATATTCTAACCCCAGTTACGACGTGCTGGTTGGAATATTCTAACCCAGTTACGCTGTGCTGGTTGGAATATTCTAACCCCATTTACGCCGTGCTGATTGGAATATTCTAACCCCAGTTACGCTGTGCTGGTTGGAATATTCTAACCCCAGATACACCGTGCTGGTTGGAATATTCTAACCCCAGTTATGCCGTGCTGGCTGGAATATTCTAAACCCAGTTACGCCGTGCTGATTGGAATATTCTAACCCGAGGTATCTGGTTGGAATATTCTAACCCCAGTTACACCATGCTGGTTGGTATATTCTAACCCCGGTTACGCCGTGCTGGTTGGTATAATCTAACCCCAGTTACGCCGTGCTGGTTGGAATATTCTAACCCCAGTTACGACGTGCTGGTTGGAATATTCTAACCCAGTTACGCAGTGCTGGTTGGAATATTCTAACCCCAGTTACACCGTGCTGATTGGAATATTCTAACCCCAGTTACGACGTGCTGGTTGGGATATTCTAACCCCAGTTACGCCCTGCTGGTTGGAATATTCTAACCCCAGTTACGACAAGATGATTGGAATATTCTAATCCCAGTTACTCCGTGCTGATTGGAATAATATAATCCCAGTTACGCTGTGCTGGTTGGAATATTCTAACCCCAGTTACGCCATGCTGGCTGGAATATTCTAACCCCAGTTACGCCGTGCTGGCTTGAATATTCTAACCCCAGTTACACCGTGCTGGCTTGAATATTCTAACCCAAGTTACGCCGTGCTGGTTGATATATTCTAACCCCGGTTACGCCGTGTTGATTGGAATAGTCTAACCCCAGTTACGCTGTGCTGGTTGGTATATTCTAACCCCAGTTACACCGTGCTGGTTGGTTTATTCTAACCCCGGTTACGCCGTGCTGGTTGGAATATTCTAACCCCAGTTACGCCGTGCTGGTTGGAATATTCTAACCCCAGTTACGCCATTCTGGTTGGTATATTCTAACCCCAGTTATGCCGTGCTGGTTGGAATATTCTAACCCCGGTTACGCCGTGCTGGTTGGTATATTCTAACCCCAGTTACGCCGTGCTGGTTGGAATATTCTAACCCCAGTTACGCAGTGCTGGTTGGAATATTCTAACCCCAGTTACACCGTGCTGGTTGGTTTATTCTAACCCCGGTTACGCCGTGCTGGTTGGAATATTCTAACCCCAGTTACGCCGTGCTGGTTGGTTTATTCTAACCCCGGTTACGCCGTGCTGGTTGGAATATTCTAACCCCGGTTACGCCGTGCTGGTTGGAATATTCTAACCCCAGTTACGCCATTCTGGTTGGTATATTCTAACTAACCCCAGTCTATGCCGTGCTGATTGGAATATTCTAACCCCGGTTTCGCCGTGTGCTGGTTGGTATATTCTAACCCCACGCCGTGCTGGTTGGAATATTCTAACCCCAGTTACGCCGTGCTGGTTGGAATATTCTAACCCCGGTTACGCCGTGCTGGTTGGTATATTCTAACCCCGGTTACGCCCTGGTTGGAATATTCTAAGTTACGCCGTGCTGGTTGGTATATTCTAACCCCGGTTACGCCGTGCTGGTTGGAATATTCTAACCCCGGTTAGGCCGTGCTGGTTGGTATATTCTAACCCCGGTTAGGCCGTGCTGGTTGGTATATTCTAATCTAACCTTCCGGTTACGCCGTGCTGGTTGGTATATTCTAACTGCGTGGTTGGCAGAGCGGAGGCGGACATATTGGTGACGTGACTGTGTTCGTACCCGTCTGCAGAGGCGGTGGGCGTGGCGTGTATCGATGGGCGTGTCCTAGCAGTGTCTCTGTGGGAAGCAGAGGGATCGGACCGGGAAAGGAGAACCCCGGTTACGCCGTGCTGGTTGGAATATTCTAACCCCGGTTAGGCCGTGCTGGTTGGTATATTCTAACCCCGGTTAGGCCGTGCTGGTTGGTATATTCTAATCTAACCTTCCTGATTGGATCCTGTTACTATTCCTAGTGCACATGGTGAGCAGCAGGCTGGATGTGATTTTGAAAGTTGTTAATAAAGTTATTGAGAGCATTGGTTGGCAAGGAGCTGCGTGGTTGGCAGAGCGGAGGCGGACATATTGGTGACGTGACTGTGTTCGTACCCGTCTGCAGAGGCGGTGGGCGTGGCGTGTATCGATGGGCGTGTCCTAGCAGTGTCTCTGTGGGAAGCAGAGGGATCGGACCGGGAAAGGAGAGTCCGGGGGGCAGCCGGTAAGTACCCGAACCATGGGCTACCGGAACCTACCGGGGGGAGGGCGGGATACTGGGGGTA